ACTAGGAGCTCGATCAAGCTAGAAAGCATGTAATTGCAGCGGATGATATGAAGAACTAGCCGCCAACACAAACATCACAGCCCTCACGCATTTGGCGGCTCGCTTCCATGCCCAACGGAGGAAGGAAAGATAGGAGACAGCATGGCCAGCCGGTGCGCTACGTGAAAAGTGTGGAGGAAATGACATCATGACGCCCATGTTCACTGGGTACAATGGCGGTGTTGCTATGATTACATGTTGCACAGTGTAGCTGGTCTAGCAGTGAGCGGCGGCGACTGGCGGCGACATGTGTGCCTCCGCAGGTCTCGTGCTGAGCCGTAGCCCACAATATCCGTGCTCTGCACCACGTTATTGGTTACTGCACTCTTAGCAACGTTTACAAAACTTTTCGTCCACCACGATGCCTGAACAGTGTGTAGAACGAGTGGATATCCATATGTGTCGTGCGGTGGATGACGCGGATGAAGAAGTTGAAGTGTTCAGTGATTTTGTGTTGGGCACCATGACTACGCAGAACGACGACAAACGCCTTGCAGGTCAGTGACGATTGGGCAGTGCTCCTGTTTGTGGCAACGGACCAAACTATTGCGCCCAGCAAGACGCAATGAGGACCATGTGCACATAGGAAGTTTTGTGTTCAGTATGTGTACAGTAACAACTTGCATGTGCGTAATAAAACACCTTTTCTGTTCCGCTTGTTATACTCGCCCCCGCATTGTAATCTCAACGTTAGAGCAACCGCTTTCAAGTGTCACTTGCACCGTGCTCAAAGTCACCCCAAGCGCAAAATGCTGGCGCCGGTGAGTTTCACACGGTCGGGCGCTGCGTCGGCCTCATGTCGAAATGCAATCGTAAAAGAAGGCGTGTTGTCTGTACAGTGCGTGAATCAACGACGTGATAACACTCGCTGTTGTCAGTGCATCTAGCACACGTTCTCTTGTACTTGCTTCGTTGTTGGCGAGCTGCTACTCGCTGTTAATACTCGGACAAAATGATTTCGCTTGAGGGTGTCGCGCTGGCCTAGAGTGCTGAGTGCCGTTCCATTAATTACGGATCGTCACAACACGCATGCTGCGCAGCCCACGTGCTTTCTGAGCCGGAGAGAGATTCGCGCCTTCTGCTTTACATTCGGATGTAAACAAGAGAGGAGAATTCGCCCAGTCAATATGGCCGACTTCCGGCTGCACTACGGCTTCACGAGTTATGTCAGGGCCTCTCATAAGTTTTTCTTTCCTTCCTCTATGCCATGCCCTCATGATGGTGCTAGCTATCCCACTTTCCTTTGCGAAGCGAAACTGACAAAAAGCTCTCCATGAGGTGGCGTATTTATTAAAAGGGTCTATAGGAGGTATGACAGACTTTCCCATGCCCACATGCTTTATCATAATTAGCCTAAGACAGCTTACGTATTTACTCGCATAATCTTTGCACTCGCATAATTCTCACACCCCCCGCATTGCCCAACAAAAATATGATTTTTTTTTCCCGTGAGTAATTATCACACCGGCGAAAATTGCAGCCAGAATGTTGTCTGCTACTTCCAACTACAACTGATGATGATAGGACACGACAGCCTGGCACCATTTCTTAGGCCTTATGGGAACTATCAACGCAAGAAGCCCCAATCTAATCCAAGCCAAGCCAAAGCGGCAAGAGTTAATTGCAGCATGTTAGTATAGTACCTAGAATATACTTACTAGTGTGCCGACCGCCGAGCGTTTCTAATGGGAGACGCTCTTAGGGACCGTGCTATCCGAGCGGCGGGGCGCATCGAGAGCGCGCATCTCACACGCATTACTTGCGCTTTGGATGCACTACGAATGCCCGTTCGCAAACCGAGTCGATTGCAGTGTAGCTGAGGGGCATTTCTGCTGTTGAACACTCAGCGCATGCTTCCGCATGTCTTTGCCGTGTTTATTTTTTGTGCGCGAATTAAAGCAAAAGATTTATATGATTGATATGTGGGGGTTTAACGTCCCGAAACCACCATATGATTATGAGAGACGCCATAGTGGAGGACTCCGGAAATTTTGACCACCTGGCGTTCTTTATTGTGCCCCCAAATCTGAGTACACGGGCCTACAACATTTCCGCCTCCATCGGAAAAGCAGCTGCCGCAGCCGGAATTCGATCCCGCGGCTTGTGGGTCAGCAGCCGAGTACCTTAGCCACTAGACCACCGCGGCGGGGCAAAATAAAGCGAAAGGATTGAAGACTTAGCTCCGGCGGCTGTCGTTAGTGAAAAACATTGTAGTAATTGATACATGGAGCACGCCTTCAAAATTACTGTCGATGGTGTCATCAGTGAAATTCCCCTTGAAAAACTCAAACCAAAGATTTTCATCCTTCATTTTATTTGCAACTCCCTCGAATTCTTTACATGGCCAAGATTATGTCTTGCTGAAACTAGCATCACTGCCACCAACATTTTAGCGAAATAAGCTCTTTGATGCTATTGTGTTAATAGTCATCATTTTCGTTACACCACACGACGTCCGCATATGTACTGGGTGTTTCAAGAAATGTGTCCAAAATACTCGAAAATCAATAAAATTTGATAAGTGCTGTAGTTTGAAGCATGATTGTGAATTTTAATTATTTAATTTTAATGAGTTTAACTAGCATTAACATCATGATAGAATTCAAGGTCTTTATGCAAAGAGCTCATCCTAGCTTTGAGTAAAGAAAAAATTGGCTTGTAGTGAACGTTGTGGCATATTGAAATCAACCAAATGCCGCGATTTTCAGCGCTGGATTTTGTCAAACTTCATTACAGTTGACCTTGTCCCTCAGAAATCACATGTATTGATATATCTATTGGTCGTTTTTGGTCGAACACTCGATATCATGTACCATCTTAATTATAACGAGGCCTACGTACGTTTGTAAGTGCAACAAAAAAAAACGCCAGGCCTGCACAGAAGGCGCAGCACGGTCACAGCAAAAGCTAAAAGAGCGGCCTTTCAGAGTCTTTTCAAAACACTCATTGGGCAACTACAGCAAGCACACTTGCTTGATACCCACTAGGGCATTAATAATAAACTTTTGGGTACTACACGAGGATTCACTATGCTATTTTTCATCATTCTGAGAAGCGTGGTATCCTCTAAACACTTGCAAGGAATTTCAGGCCAATTGTCCATGCAGTGGCTGATAACAATGAGGAATTATGGCTGAAGTCAGTATGTGCCACAGTTAATAGGGGAACAAGAACAAGCTTTTGAAATGGGTTGGAGCATTGGACGGCCCACACGTTACGCTATTGGCATTATGCGATGACTGCTTGTTTTTTCGCTGTATTAAAACACTTTATAAGTCTTATTAAGGCGATTGCTTTCCCAACATCAAGCCTCCCTAAAGCAAGTTTGTCAACAAGCCACAATCACTAACGTAGCTCAGTGGTAGAATACTGGGCTGGCACCCTGCGACCCGGGTTCGAGCCTCACTGTGTCGTTGGTGCTAGGTTTTTTTTTTTTTTTTTTTCTAATTTCGCACGATGTGGTTACGAACACCGGCGGCGGCGGCGGACAACTGCGCGTGGCCCGAAAAGTGATCTCATAACAGCTTTCGGTGTAAAAACTCGTTGCATCGAGCGCAAATAGAAACTTGATTTGTTCGTACACAGGTCTGAATTTGCCATGAAATGCAGTTCAATTGCGCAATATCTAATATTGCTTTGATTACGCTTCACCCCCCAACCAGCATTCCACAGCTATAAGTGGGCTGGAAGAGCACATCAGAGCCTGTTGCATGCCCTCATTGGCTGGAGTGTTGGTAGAGATGCTGCCAACCTCTCCCCGCTCAAGCCGCTCGACATAGCACGATTCCTGCGGCTATCATCGTTTGGTGGCCCTCGGTGAATGGAATCTTTCTCTGTGCCACCGCGATGCCCGTGCTGACGTGGTTGGCACACTAGTAAGTATATTCTAGGCACTATAGTGTTAGTGTACATTGTGTCCATTCTGTGGCTACGTTATGGGGCGATATAGAACCTACAGGGCTGCTCTCAAGTTGAAAGTGATTGATCATGCATTAAACAATGGCAACAAGGCCGCCAGTGGGTACTTGAGAGGCGACGAGTTTTGTGTTTGTTACTGGCAACAACAGCCCAGGCAACTGAAAAGCACCAACACGCACAGGGCATTCTGTGTAGCTAAAACAGGGAGGGAAGGGGAAAACATTATTTTGTCAGAAAGTAACTACAAACGATTTCGTGTTAAGTGGCCATCATCCCAAGGTTGACAATGTACGCTAATATTTTGCGGGCTCCCATTGAGTGACGAACGCTCGCAAGCTTTCCATACGGTATTCCAAAACTCTTTACCAATCGTCTGCAGCTTTCGAGTCTCAAATAAATCTCGCCTTGTGGTGAACATCTAGTTTTATTGAGATAAGTCTTAATCAGTACTTCTCAAAGCTTGCAGTTAGTTGCTAGCATGAGAATCCCAACTTCAAGTTACTTTCTCTTTTCGTATTTTATTTTTCACTCCATACGTTTTCACGAGAACTTTTTCTCCCATAATTCTCGCACAACTGAACTATTCATCGGCTTTGCACGAAAAAAAGTGCGAGGATGGTGCGAGTAAACATTCTTCTTGAAGTACAGCTGGAGTGTGAGCCTGCAGTGCGGCCTCATCGCGAACAAGATGCATTGCCACCTCCGATTCGCCCAAGCTTACGGTGCCTTGATGCGAGAGGGCGCGCGCATTGAGGCACCCTAGCAGTAGCTGGACAAGAGTGCCACAGTGATACTGGTCACGCACACACTCTCCCCAACCTCCACGCGGAACAGGCAAGTGGGGCGAATGGTCACAGCAAAAGTGACGCGCACACACAGCTGTGACTGAGATGCTTGCTGTGGCCACTTCGGTCCGCGACCAGTGAGACTACATTGCACGCAATCATCACAGAACCAAGTTTGGAGAAACACTTTTGCGCGTTGTCACCCCAAAAAGCGGTACAAAGCTCAGCTGACAGCAATCTCGCTCAGGAGACACGCACCCTGCCTTGGAGGATTTCCTTTCAGCCACGGTTGGCAGGGCATCCATCAGCTTCTTCATGTCAAGCACACGTGCTTTCTTCTTGCGATCCTTCCTTTTGGTGACCCTGCCAGCCTCGAGTTCTGCATGGTATAAACATGCGTGATTTGTGTAGTGCTGCCACTTGGGCATTTACATGACCATCAGTTGATTCTAAAAAATGAGTTCATATTCTATAATAGAGGTTAACTGTTTCCCCAAATAGCTACTCATCACCACTACTCCTCAACAATCCAGGTCTCTTTATGAACTTCAGTGCCCAGGCCCTCTTATTTTTAAAATATACACTACAAAGTGAAACAATAAATTAGTTTAGACAGATAAATTATACTGTGAAAACCCTAGTTAAATGTTAAATTCACCACCATAGGCTTACTAAAAATGAGAAAATGCAATTATGGGTGATTCGATGAGAGATAAAACATGCATGCCCGGTCGATATTTTTTTATTTACCTGGATTTTTTATGTGTTATGTGAACACATTAGGTGTACAAAACCAAAAGTTCCATTTCGTAAAAATGCTCCCAGCACACAAAAAACAATATTTGAAGGGAGAGGTGCAGGCGTCCTGTTCCTGCTCACCGCAATATTTCTTGCTTTCGTGGCTAAGTTTACCAGAATTATAAATGTGTCTAAAATTTTTCCTACTAACTTTAGTATGCGTCACTGTGAAATATATCAAAACTTTCTTTGTGATGCCCTCAAAAGAGAAAAAATCTCAGAAAACAGCAAACTCGGCCCAAAACAAAAAAGTTGGCTAACTTTGATGCTCCTTGCTGTGTTTTCTAATTCACAGAGAACCTTGAAAACACTGCAAAATATCAAAAAGGCCATTGCAACTTTTCTGAAAAAAATTGTTTGTCTATAGGGAGCATAAAATAAAATTTAAAAAATGGTTAAAGAAGCAAGCTTTCTTCAACAAAGCTGATTTTAAAAATAAAATGAAATAAACTCCCACGTCAATTTCGCTCAAACTTTTTTATCGGTGAGCGCTTATGTCAATCAAAACACGATTTCCCTAAACATAAATTGAATATCATATGTCCTCACTTGCTTTGTTCATGAGATATAATGACACAGCTTACATTGTGCTTACATTGAGTGTAAATATACATCTTTAATTGTTTTGCTGCAGCAAATCTTTGCCCTTCAGGAAAATTTATTATCAGATATTATTTGTGTGTAGTGCCCGAAGTTTTCAGTCACTCAAGCAATTCAGCATACGATTTTTCTGCTCAAACTGCAAGTCTGAAATAGCATCGGTTGAAGCCACCATAGCCGAGATGTTGATCACGTTGGAGGCCAGTGCTTTTGTGTCACTTTTTGCTCACGCATCAATTTGTAGCTGTGCCAGATTTTGAAAGTTAGCCTTGCCACAATGCCAAAGTGTTGTGAAGTGAAGCATTCTAAGTATCTGAAGGGGGGTCATTGTCGGGGCGAAGTGCTGCAAGGCCTTCACACGGATAAACAGTCGAAATGCAATGAGGTAAGAAGGTGGCAGGAGGCAACAGGGCCAGTACGAGTTCATCTCTGAAAACACAATTACAATAAGTATTTTCACTCAACTGTTGAGTAGGGCATGTGGCCTCGCACAGTTATAAGTGTGCTGTGACACAAGGCAAACACGCTGTTCCAACATAGACTGCTTTGTGCAAGACCATTAAGTGCGTTGCTTTAAGAAGCGAAAGTAGCTTGCAACCACCACACCTGTGTGTGGTCAGGAACTTATTGGGAATGACGAGCACTCGTGGTATATGTGTGCATACGGTGCAGCACATGTCCTGACAGTGACTGCATCAGCTTAATAGGCAACACGCTCCAAGCAAATAGGAAGGAGCAGCTGGGTTCCTCGCAGGTATCAAACATGTTCATGAGAACCTGTGAGAGTACTGAAATGCCTGATACGTGTATTGGCAGGCCTTGATAGCTTTTTGAGACGTCGGTGCAGTGACTTGACCAATTGAGCGAAGTAAAGAAGTGGAAATTCATTTTTTCAGATGGTACAATTTTTCGAACAATTTTGTGGTCTCGAGAGAGTCTCATAAATCAGACGCTGATTGTACCACCGCTAATGGGCAGGAGTGTATTTATAAACAGTAAAAGCTCGTTAATTCGACACCCGTTAATTCAGAAATTTGGATAACTCGGACAGCTCTATTGGTCCTGGCCAAAGTGCATGTTAATCTGTGGGACCAAACCTTCGTTATTTCGTCGGAATTCGGCTCCGCACCGCTGAATTCGGACAAATGCTGATGGCTGCTGCTACACAAAAGTGTGATAAAGCAGCGCTGGCACCACTGGAGTGAAACCGAAACCTGAGTAGCATCGCCATTATCATCAACTAGTGGGGCCGATCGCAGCGCCACCGAACGTTGGCGGCTTCTTTCTTCTCCACTCAGCGCCTCCGACGCCATTTTCCCTCGTGTTGTCGTGTCGGAACCATCTCTTCTTGCGGAGTTCTCTTTTTCTTCCATTGTGACCGTATTTGCATGCCACCACCATCGTGCGCTACAGTGATGGCAACGCCGAAAAAGCGGCAGAACTACGACGCGAAGAACTTGGCGACTAAAGTGGAAATTTTGGAACCACTGAAGAATGGCGAATCGCGACAGCAGGTTATGACCAAGTACAACGTGAAGCGGAGCACGTTGGGAACGTATGTGAAAAATGAACAACAGATTCGACAAGCCTTCGAAAGCGAGAAGTTTCATGCCTCTAGAAAGCGGTTGCGAACCGCAGCTCATCCCCAGCTCGAAGAAGCTTTGCTCTAGTGGATTACTGACTGTCGCAACACGCATCTGCCTTTGAGCGGACCTCTCATCATGGCGCAAGGTGAGAATTACGCTGCAATGATGAATGAACATTGAATCGTTCAAAGCGTCAGAAGAGTGGTTTGCGAGGTTTCGAGAGAGACACGAACTTGTCTTCAGCAGTGTGTGCGGCGAAAAGGCCAGTGTTGACGAAAGCGTGACCACCGAGCGGAGAAATGTGAAGCGGCTGGAGCACATCGCCACATATGGACCACGACGTGTTCAATGCAGATGAAACTGCTCTATTTTTCAGAGCTCTGCCCGACAAGACGATGACATTCAAAGGGGACACGTGCATTGGTGGCAAGAAGTGCAAGCAAAGGATAACTGTGCTTCTTGCCGCCAATATGACTGGCACGGAGCGCTTGCCACTACTTGTCGTCGGGAAGGCGCTTAAGCCACGTTGTTTTAAGAACGTCAAAAGCCTTCCTGTCGAGTACACAGTGAACAGGAAGGCATGGATGACATCAGACATTTTTCGCGGCTGGCTGCAGCAGTTGGACCGGCACTTCACGTCGAAGGACCGCATGATAATTATGGTTGCTGACAACTGCAGTGCCCATAACTGTACAGTCGAACTGAAGAGCATCAAAGTAGTTTTTTTGCCGCCCAACACTACGTCTGCTCTTCAGCCGATGGACTAGGGTATCATTCACTACGTGAAGTTCGAAGTACTGCAAGCACCTGCTAGAGTGAATGATTCTATACTCAGAAGCTGCAAAGTTGTATCAAGTGGACTTACTCGGCGCAGTGCACATCATCGCCCACGTGTGGAAAAACACTCCGCCGCAAGTCATCGCCAACTGTTTTCGGCACAGCGGTTTTGTGAGGCCCGAGCATGCAGCAGTAGCTAACGATGGCATCGAGGAGGTGTCAGCCGAGTCCACCGACGATGACTGCCCAACTTGCGATGCTGTCCTTCCCACAAATGTGACCTTTCAGGACTACATCGCGATTGATCATGGTGTCGCCACGAGTGGTCTCCTGACCGTTCAAGAGATTATTAATGATGTCACGGGCGCCCATGAAGACCACGATTCCGAAGAAGAATCACGCGAGGAGATACAGCCGCGACCTCATCGCACCTCACGGGAAGTCTCGGAGGCGCTGTTAATATTAGAGGACGCTTGCCTGTACACTCCCGACAGCTTGCGTGCTGTTGGCCATTTGGAACAGTAAAGAAAAATTGTGATGTCAGCCGGAATCTGCGCGAAAACGCAGACGACGATTACAAAATACTTCAACAAATAAAGGTATGCTTCTGCAGCTTGACTTTAAATGTTGTTTTCCCTGTTCATTCGGCATTCGGTTAATTCGGACAGTTTTTCCGGTCCCGTAAAATCCGAATTAACGAGCTTTTACTGTATATACATATATATTTTTTTTCAGGACAAGAATTACAATTAGGTGTTCTCACAAAAGGATGATACCAGAGTGCGTTAGGTTCGATGGTGCAGCTCAGATGCATGGTATTAATGCTTAGTTATTACCACAGCAAATGGCCACAAGTATTTCTTTTTCGAGACAAGAATTACACTTTGGTATTATCACGAGACAATAATACCGGAGTGTGTTAAGATCCATGGCACAGCTTTGACACATGATGTCACAAGAACTCCGCAAAACTACCGAAAATGGGACATAACTAGTGGAATGCAAAGACCACCGCAAATGGCCAGTTCAGGTAGCCCGTGGTGGACATAGAGATATAGGAAAGTTATTCAGAAGAGGCGTTGGCCGATAACAAAGAGCAGAAACAGAGACAGCCACTGCACTTTCGACATGTCAGGAGTAGACGTGGCCAACACAAGACTTTGTCAAGGACCATTTGACAGCAGAACACAAGCATGTTCAATAATATGCATGATTGGTGGGTGCAAAGAACAAGAATCGCCTACTGTACATGACATTACCATAGTAACAGGATGGTAATGCCAAGTATCCTGACTGCCAGCTACATCACCTATACAGTCAGAAGCTTACCCTGAGAAATCTTGAGAGACCGTTGCCATTCATATCATTGGGCCAGCTGCACAAGATCCCATCAATTGCCATTATTCTGGAACGCCTATTGATTACCACAGCAAATGGCCAGGAGTATTTATTTCAAGACAAGTTCCTACCGCAACAGCCGAGAACTTTCAGCTACAAAGATTTGCTCATGACTGTTAGCCCTGTAAAATAGTCTTTAACCATGACCTGTAGTACAGCTTGGTTGAACTTGGAAGAGCTCCTTTAGCAACATGGCTTACGCCATTGGGTGTTTTTTTTT